TAACTTAAACGTAAAATGAACTTACATTAACTTAAATGTAAAATTCATTATATATATATTTTGAAATCACATTTTTTCTTCTCGTATCTTGTTATAAAAATCTTCTCGTATCTTGTTATAAAAATCTAATCGTATCTCCTATAAATTACACCTTTAAAAACATTGAGAATATAAGATATTTTTGTGTAAAAAATGGATATAACAAAGTGCACATTTCAATTAAATGGTTCAATTAGTGGCCCATTTAAGAAACTTATTTTAAAACGGCAATTAGAAGAAAGTAAACAGAGATCGAATTTGAGAAAATAATACTTTTAAGGGATTGAAATGGTGGGACATATTTGACAAGAACATCTTAATAGGTACAAATTAAAAAGAAACGTATTGTAAAGAAACATATTGAAAAATATAAATATAGGAATTGTCTCTGGTCAGGCACTTCAAAAGTGTCTGACCAGTCAGTCACTTGTATAATTGTGTATGAATTATGTATATTTACAAGTAAATCGTATATATTTACATATAAAATCGTGTATATTTAACATGTAATACAACATATCAGCCAATATACATATTTTCATGTTATGTGTTCACTAATTACTCTAAAAAATGCATGTTTTAAGGATTAATATACATTATCGTTTCTTATAACTTAACATACACAATTTATATGTAAATATACACAATTTATATATAAATATATACGATTGTACAATTATATAAGTGCCAAATAAATATACATAATTTACCTATAAATATATATAATTTATCCGTAAATATACAGAATTCATGTACAATTATATAAGTACTTACCTTGCCTATAAATATATATATATATTTTTATATATATATATATTAAGAAAGAGGTAGAAAACGACAAATGACTTTGACATCAGCAAACGAAAGTGCGAGCGAGAAATAGCAAATGACACAAAACGTAAAAATATCTTACTATGTTTTGGAACAGTGCACAAACGAGAACTATACAGTAATAGATATTGAATAAATAGATAATAGATAAACAAATAATAGTTTTTCACAGAGATTTCTTTTTCTCTGTTTTTTTTTTCCTTCAATTCTTTAGATGCAACACTTTTACCTTTCTTTTTTTTTATTATTTTAACAAAATAATCCCTATACTCTCAAAATATTTACAATTAAGTTCTTTCTGTCAAATTTTTAACCGAATGAATCACCTAAAAGTCAAGTGGTTATGTTGGCTATGAGTTTGAATGTACTGGATCCTAAGTTCAATTTTTTTTTTTTAAAAAAAGACTATCAATTGCTATTCACGTACACTGATACATGTGTATAAAAATAAAAGGAAAAGTGTATAGTAAGGGGCGTTATTTTCCCTACTTAGGGTGAATTCAAAGTGGCACTATGAGTAAAAATTAGGGCCCAAAATAATCTTTCTTAAGAAGTAAAAATAAGGACTATTGATTAATCCTAAACACAAATTAAAAATAATAATACTAAAAAAACACTTTTCTTCTTCAACATAAACGGCACCATATACCGTCAATGCGCCGCCGCACGTGCCACCGCCGACTAGCGCACATTGCCTCCCATGTCGACACTACCCCATCCAACGTGATCAGAAACACCTTATATCTTCGACATCGCTGTTGTTCTTTTCAAGACCCATAATTTTGTGCCTATTTCTAAGGAATGGCTTCTTGTTGAATCTCAAATACCTGTTTGCATGGACAATCTGTTTTCATTAACTATCAAATTCATGGTGTTATTTCTTAACGTATTGTTTTTATTTTGGAGGGATCAGAAAAAATCTGTATTGTTCATTTCATGCTCGAAGACTAGGATGGTGGATTATTGAATATAGACAAGAAAGAGTTTAATTTGAGTAATATACCATAGGACGTTCAAATATTAAAGATTTGGGATACTTTTTTTCGAAAATTAAGGTTCTGTTTTGTCAGCTAATTATATCCTCCAAAATGATCGATTTATAAAAATGATTGTCGTACTACATAATCACCCTGGCTTTTGATCCATGGCGAATATCTTTTTTAAGTGTAAGTGTATATGTTATTTAATACTTGTGAAATTGTAACAAGAGTAATACTTTTCACAATAATTATCTTAAGTGTACGTAAAAAGTGTTGCGTTTGTTTAAAAACCTTAATTATCTTTTTAAATTGCGTTTTCACAATAATTATCTTGAGTGAAATTAACATTAGGAGCAACTCGGGGGAGCTTCACGGGGCGGAATGTGTATAACACACTTATCATAATCTAACAATAATGGTTTTTCGTTACTTGGTCTCTAAAATAATGCAAAATAAGTTACGACGCAGGTTTCAGAAACCCGTTATAAAACTTTCCCGCGTTTTCTCGGCGGCCAAACAAGGTAATATGTAAACAGGAAAAGAAAACGAAAAAAAAAAAGAAATAAAATACGAAAGTTAAGCTGAAAAGGGGAAGAACTAGTTCTTACCCGTGCGGTTTTCTGAGGAAGATTGGGAAAGGCTGAGAATTAAAAAATGCTTCTTTTTATAATTTTTCTTTTCCTTTTTGATTGTGTTTTTTTTTTAATGAGAAAAAGGTTGCCGAAGCTGTCCAAGTTAAGGGAAGAAAGGCGGTGATCAACCCAAAACGATACCAAACTTTGTCGTTTTTAGCTCTTCTTCTTCTTCTTCTTCATGGGCTCTTTGACTGGCCGTAGTTGACTGTTGAAGCCCAGCTCATGATTGTTAGGACTTTGACGGGTTTCAATATGGGCTTTTCGACCCATACAAACTTACGTGCATGGTCCAGAGGGAGATTTAAGAGGCGATTTGGAGATTTGAGAAAATTATAAAATTTACTCAAGTTATAAGACTGAATTTTTACGTTTTATTCTTAATTAATATTATTTTATTAATATAGTTATTTGATTATGAGAGTATTAATTAAGAGTAAAAGTAAAAATCATGGTCACCACAATCTAAGGCAGTATTTGTTTCCTTTATAAAATTTTTTGGTAGAATAAAAAAATTTATGAAGTTTTTTTTTTAATATTTAAACCATAAAATTATTGAAATACATTCAAAGTAACAAATTAAATATCAATTTCAGTTAAAAATACAGCAGAGATGACTTTTTTATTAACATTTTAGTATTTAAGGAGAACGGATTTTACATTTTAAAGATGAGGAGGGCAAAATGTTGTATAATTCAGAGGAAATTTTTATAATTAAACTTTGCTTCCACAGAACTACTTGAGCATTTTGCGCTGTTCTCACCATCATAGTTCATAACATCGTTCCCAAAATGGAACTCCAGTTAACATTCACTAGTATTTGAAGAATTAAACCATAAACCAACGTATCAATTTGAGCTAAATATCTACACTTGTGTAGATCTCAAAGCTTTGCCTCATTTCTCATTTTGTCTCGGTAAGGTTCTTCACTCTCTTTATCCTTAAGGAAGCCAAGAAACAGAGAAAAACCCAAAAAGGAATAATCCACCAGACCAGTTGCCCCCACCACCTCCGCCTCCGCCTCCACCGCCGCCACCACCGTCATCACGAGGTGGGGATCCAGTCCCACCATCATCGAGGTCCGGTAACTTGTCCTTGGCTGTATAATTCAATCAACAACAAAATTTTAGAAGGAAAAAAGGAAAGAAAGACCCATGCCTCTAGACTTTTTGGACATTATTTCACTGCGAACTGCACCGGAGTGAAGATTTCAAATGACAAGAAGAAATCAGGAGCCCTTAAGGGTTTAGCCCTTAAGGTTAATTAAAGGTTTTGCTGCGGACTTTTCTGTTAAAATATAAATGGAGTTTTTACGGTGAGACTTTTTAAAAAATTGATTATTGGATTAAATTTTTAATGGTGCACCATATAGAATTGTTTTATTTATAAATCTGATCGTTAAAAAATAATCCAACGATTAAAACAGGGTGTTTTATCGATAGGTTTTTTTAGGGGGTTTCACAGTAGAGAAAGCTAAATATAAAACTATTGTTCGTCTACCTCTCACAGCGTAAACTTTTAGGATAGATTGTTAAACTAACATGGTATCAGAGATGAACGTCCTAAGTTTAAACCCTTGTAATTGCAGTTTGGGTCTTTAATATATTTTGGGTTTATTATCAAATTTCACGTGTTGAGTTTTTCAATTATACCCACACGATTACTCATTATTCATCCCACAGGTGAGAGAGAGTGTTAAAATATAGAGTAAGTTAGTGAACTCACCTTTTGAATGTATTGTTTTAAGATTTTTACTTTTACTTTTGATTAATACCTTTATGACTAATATAGTTCTTTGATTGAAGGGTACTAATCAAGAGTAAATGGTGAAAATCTAAAACTCATGCATTTTAAATGGTATTTGTCTCTTTTTCCTTAAAATATATTATCTCCCAACTGCTTAAACTTTTAGGATGAATGGGTAAACTAATATTTTCTGGACTGGAAAAAGTAAGTACATAAAATGTATATATCAGAGTAAAAATCAAGCGACAAGGTTCAGTCAATTCTAAGTTTATAGTTAGGGGATAGGGAGTTGCTGGAATGCCAGTTTTCCATTCTCATGAGGCTTGAAAGCTTATAGGCAATGAGTCTGCACAAAGTGATTCTATCGTGCTCAAACAACCATGCTTCTTCCCCATATGGAGTTCAGAACTTCAGCCGAAAGGCAATTGTTGAGTGAACTATCTTATCTTTGTGTAAATGCGCATAATTCTATCATGGTGTCTGTCATGAGAGTCACTAGTCCAACATCCTTTAGGCGTCAATTTCAGTTAAAAGAGATGTGTTGATACTAGCTTCTCAATAAATTTCTCCTTTGTTACTTATTTACTACATTCTGTTTCTTTTTTTTTTTTTGCACTCGATGAAATTTTTGGACTGTTAATTGCAATTACATGGGTGGTACTAAACTAGTACATGTTTTTTATTTGCTCACAGCAAGAACAGTGGGATGTAAGCAACGAGTAAAGCTGATATAGGAAGCGTCCGCTACCGGTTTCAGCCGTTGGTTGCACAAATGGGACAAGTTCAGAGTGTTAAGTTTGGGCCAGTTAAGAATGTCAAGTTTGAACCAACTGAGCGCGTTACAGACATGCCTTTTGTGGGGACGAGAAAACCTTTTATGCATTCTAGTCGGAGACAATCTAGTGCTATCATATGTGCTACTGCTTTGGAAAGCTCTGTCATTGCATCTCTCTCTTTGTACTTGCTTTCTTCGAAATAGAGGTGTTAGTTTGGGCTGTTTGCCTAGCCTGACCTTAAACTTAAAAAGTTTAGGGCCGGAGATATTTTTAAAAAAAAATTTAAAAAATATATATCCGGCCCTAAAAGAGAAAGGATCAATCCAGCTCAGTCCTAAGCTCAAAAAGGTTAGGTCGGCGCTGGGCCAACAGTGACGGGTCTCAGACCAGCCCGTGTAGTCTGACCTAAACTTGTAGCTCTATTTCGACGTAATAAATCCTCCTAAGCGGAAGAAGGTCTTGATCTTCGCTCTGCTTTTTTTGTTGTATAGAATGCCAGATGTGGTGCGGAGCAAACTCAAATAGTACTTACACGGAGGCCTTTGTAAAAATAACTCTTTTGAAAAGTTTTGTTAGTAAAATAACTTTTTAAAAATTTTTATTTGTAAAATGACCTCTTTTTATAAAGAATGAGTAAATGTCTTTCTTCATAAAAAATAGAAGAATGTCATTTTACTAATTTCACTTTGTTGGATAGTCATTCTAGCATATTGCCCTATTTAGACTTGGTATTTTCTATAAGTATATTTTGTCAATTCTTCTAAAACAATATGTCGCATTTTCAGCTTATTCTTTTCTGTAAATATATTTTGTCAATTCTTCTAAAACAATCTGTCGCATTTTCAGCTTATTCTTTTCTGTCATTATTGTCAAGATGTCAATATATACTGCAGCTCCAAGCACTGACGTCGTCAACTCACCTCAATCATCGTGATCTGAAAGCTAGCAACATACTTTTAGATAGCCAAATGAGCCCAAAAATTTCAGAATTTGGCATGGCAAAGATCTGTGGAGTTGATCAAAGTCAAGGCAACACCAGTAGGATTGTTGGAACATAGTAAGCAAAGAAACTTTATACATTGACTACTTTGTACTTTTTTTGTTTTTCATTCTCAGCTGATTAATTAATTTCACATGGGGTGCAGTGATTACATGTCTCCGGAATATGCATATTATGAACAATTCTCTCTCAAGTCTGATGTGTATAGCTTTGGCATCTTAGTTATTGAGATTGTCACCGGCAAGAAGTGCACTAGATTCTTCGACTCAGAGGGCTCCGATCGAGCACCTCTTGAGTTATGTGAGTAGCACATAATTAAGTTTGTAACTAATCTTTTTGTTTCGTTAATTATCTTGTGAATGATTCTCATAATTAAGTTTGTAACTAATCTTTTTGTTTCGTTAATTATCTTGTAAATGAGGGAGGTATGGTAATTGCTTAACTTTTTGTAGGCTTGGAAACATTTGAGGGAAGGGACGCCATTGGAGTTGTTAGTTCACTAGATATTGTCGTTTGTAACTAATCTTTTTTTTTTTTTAATGACAATTTCAGGATGCAAAATCCTTCTGTTGGAAAACAGAAGCATGCATCTAATTTATTAGCCACAAAAAAAAAAATTCAGATTATTCACTTCAATCTAGTTGAGAGTTGGTTTGTTTTCTTACCATTGTTTCAATTAGTTTACATGAATGGAGCTCTTGCATAAAATCTGACCTCCAATTAATTTTTACAGTATCTTGGATGTTAATTGTTCAAAATTAACTGACAACAAAAATGTAATCTTTATCTTCTCAAAAAAAACAAATATCTTTATTTTTCTTTCTACTTTTTTCCCATTAAGATTTTTAACCGGCCATCCCTCACAAATTGTTGAAAAAATAAATTTTATAGAGCCAAAAATCTATATGGTCATATATGCAATAAAAAATAATAAATATTTATTTCGATATCAATACGGTCATATATGCATAAAAAAATGTAATTGTCAGCTTGAATACTAATATACTTAACAAAATTTAAGGCTGACTTATTTCGTGATTTTGAGTTAAGAATTTAAATTAAAAAGTGAATTTTATAAAAAAAAAATGTAGTATAAAAAATTAAATTTAAATTTTTATAAAAAAAATATTATAGTAAAAAATTTAATCGATTAAAATGGTGGAACGGATAGGCTTAAGATTCAAAGTCTTCGCCTAAAAGTCTTATGAATTTATGATGGTTTGAATAATAAGACGTGGAAATTATGGCATACCTTAACGAAATGTGGAAAGTAGAATCATAGGACACGCGTGAAGTGGAACAATTAACGCGCGGGTCCCAACTTTTCCCAAGTACTAGTTTAAAAACAAAATTCTGCTCTTCCAAAATTTCCTTCAACCTCAAGTACTATGAGCTTGTTTTGTTACGATTTTAAGTTACAGTGATTTGAGTGTAGATTTTAAATTAAATTTAAGTTATAATTTGAGTTAAAGTTATAATTTGAGTTTGTGTTTGAATATGCACATTTAAATTATGATTTGAATTGAGAATCTATTTAAATTTATATTTGAGTGAATCAAAATTTGAATTTGTATTTAGATAGTAATTTAATAAAAACTCAATGGTGATGAAAAATTTAATAGGATATATAGGTGGGGTTTTATTCATCTTTTCGTTGTGAACGCATACAAAAAAAAATCATCTCAATCGGAATTAAAACGAAAACGTTATAACATTTTTAAGAATAGAAAAAATATTATTCATTAATTTGAGTTTGAGTTTAAGAACTTGAGTTGAAAGAAAAACTTAAATTCAGATTTTAGCACCGAACTCAAGTTAAAACATAACTAAGCATATTATCAAAAAATTTCCTGGGGTATACTAAGCAAGACTTTTATGTGATATTATAAAAAAAAATAAAAAAATAAAAAAAATAAAAACAAAGATTGGTTTTTTTCTTTTCTACAATTTTCCTGGGTATACTTTCAATCTCACTTGACGCCAGCTAAGTAGCTATGGAAAAGTCCCACTCCTATCGCCATCAACGAACCATTCCACGTTAATTTTCTTCCTCAGACTTATCCTTATTGACTGACGACTTGAGCCTTTTTTCCACAATGTGAATGGAGGACGATAGTCGAAGGAGAAGGAAAAGAAAAATAAAAAGTCTGGCTGGGTCTCTTTCACTTATTTATAAAGGATATTAGAGATGGATCTAAATATACTGTCTAATTTTTAATATTTTAATTAGTGTCTAATTAATTTAATTATATCATATCATCTCATAATAAATAAGTATAAAAAAATAAATTAAAAGGTAATTTAAATATTTTACATAACGTATCGTGATTTAAGTCCATTAGAGACACCTACGTGGTCTTAAGTGTATCAGGTCGACCCACAACATGGAACCCACTGAAAAAGCAAAAGCTTAATTAAACCATGTCATGCAATTAATTAAAAAGAAATTTTATTGACACCCTTTTTTTAATTAAGACACCCCAATATTTAAATTATCATATTTTATTACAAATATAACCTTACATCCCAAAGGCTTTACAAGTCGTCGGCTATATTTTCTGGGAAACCATCATGAACAATAAAGCCGAATAAAACAATACTTGGGGCATCTAAAATCAATCAAAGCTCATAATTTATTTTTCTTTTGGTTTGTTTATCTTTGTTTAACCTTCCATTTAAAAGCCTAGAAAGAGCTGAGGCTTAAGTAGTTCTCCACGTACAGTAGAGGGCCAAAGACGAAGACGTACGGCTGATGATAAAAGATGCTTTCCTTGTTATTCCTCTCTCTGCTCCTCTCCCTCGCGCTTAAAAGTGAACCTGTCCCGACCTACACCTACCACTCATGCCCAAACACAACAACTTTCGCTCCAAACAGCACTTACCAATCCAACCTCAACAGTCTTCTCTCTTCCCTCTCCTCCAATGCCACGTCTCGCGAACATCACAACGCCACCGCCGGCGGTAGAGACCCCTCTACCGTCTCCTACGGGCTTTTCTTCTGCCGCGGAGACGTTGGCACCAAAGACTGCCGAGAGTGCGTGCAGTCGGCCGTCGAAGATGTCCGCAACCGATGCCCCGTGGAAAAAGATGCCATAATCTGGTACGAGCAGTGCCAGCTGCGCTACTCCAACCTCTCTTTCTTTGGCGCCCTTGATGAAACTCCAACTATTTATTTATGGAACACAGCAGATATCACGGAAAAGGAACGCTTTAACCAGCTGGTGGAGGACACCTTGAATGAGGCGACGGCGGAGGCTGCAAAAGGTAGGCCCGGTGGGGAGAAGTTCGCGATGAGAACAGCCAACTTCAGTCGCTTCCAGAAGTTGTACGGTCTCGTGCAGTGCTCGCCGGACCTGTCCAGCGAGGACTGTAATCGATGTCTCCAAGACTCCGTATCGAAGCTTCCTTCTTGCTGCTATGGAAAGTTTGGGGGCAGAGTTATATCGCCTTGTTGTAATATCAGGTATGATGGCCAAGGCAAAAAAGTTTCCTGGTGGGGCACTATTAAAAATATTTAAGATTAGTACTGATTAGGAACATAATCAAATATTTCCGTTTTCAACCGTAGCTACAGTCATAATTTCTTATGAAAGTTGGAATATAATTTCAATTTAAAATGAGATTATAAGTGAAAAATGAACTTGTTTATAATATTATCATAAGGATTGTGATGAAAAATTGATTTGATCACTTTTGTTTTGCCTTGTTTTAATTTGATTACAAAATTTAGGTATGAAGTTTACCCCTTCTTTAACCTAACCGCAATATCACCACCTCCGTCAACGGGGCTGACTCCTCCTCCTCCTTCCAATACTATTGCCAAACAAAACACAGAAGGTAACTGCAAAGCCTTTTTAAGAGTTCCTAATGTTTTTGACATAATTTTCATTTCGTTTGATTTCTTCTAGTTGGAAAATTCTTTAAAGCGAAGAGGCGTCAAATAATAAAACAATTAACTTTTTTAGTGGAAATAATTAAAAGTCAAATAAATTTTTTTCTCGACCTAAAAGAGTTTTAAGATGTGAAAATATTTTGCTTAATATATGGACTACTAGTGTTTCTTTCTTTTTTCGTTATTTTTATTTTGTGTAAGTTACCTTTCAGGGTAGTTTACCTTTTTTTTTTAACTTTTATAATTTTATAATTTAATAAATTAAATAAGAAACGCGGAATGAAGTCATTAGTAGCTGCCACTTTGTTAGGATGTATTAAAGTCTATTTTGGCCTTTTCCTCCCTTTCCTTTGGTTATAATAATTGTGGTTAGACCATACGTACGTCATATATATTATATGATGCATACTACTCATTTAAATCAAACGTTATAAAAGTGTAGAGACGATTAGTTTGTGAAAAAGAAAAAATAAATAATGCTTTTAGTATAAACGGTGTAACTTTTGGGAGAGTTTATCCGGTAGCTAGTCTGTCCTATTAGTAGTTTTTATTTTTAACTATTAAATCTGGTTAAAATAATATCAGATTAAAAAAATATGGAGAATAAATAGATTTAACAATTGAAAAATACGAGACTAAACCGGTAGTCTATTTTTAGAGAGACTACTAAAGAAAGTCTCTTATTTTAATTGTTGTTTTGGATAAGTTTCTTGTCGCTTACAAGGTCATACGGATTATTAATATTCCCTTTTTTGCAGGAGAAAGTGACATCTCATATGTAATTATTCTGGCCATTGTAGTCCCAATTGCTGTTTGCACAGTTCTTCTCATCCTTGCGATTTGTATCCTCCGTAGGAGAGCAAAACAGCACAATTCTATAGAGCCAGAAAATGGTAAAGATAATAATAAGATTTAAAATCTACTATTTATGATCTGCCTGTTTGTGATGGAAATGCTTACCCTCAAAATGCCTGTTTGTGTAGTTGGGGACGATGAAATTACAACTATAGAGTCCTTGCATTTTGACTTCGCGGAAATTGAAGCTGCCACAAACAAGTTCTCTCTTGATTGCAAGTTAGGTGAGGGAGGATTTGGTGAGGTGTACAAGGTATGGCATTTTGTGATGGCTTCAATTTGTATTACTAGTTAGCTATTTCTCAAATTATACAATTAATCTAGCCAACAATTTGTTACAACTATAATGTTCTCAGGGCACACTTGCTAATGGACAAGAAATAGCTGTCAAAAGACTATCAAAGAGTTCCGGACAAGGTGTTGAAGAATTTAAGAATGAGGTCCTACTGCTAGCCAAGCTTCAACACAGAAACCTCGTGAGGTTGTTCGGATTTTGCTTTGAAGGAGAAGAAAAGCTGCTTGTCTATGAATTTGTGCCCAACAGAAGCCTTGACAATTTTCTATATGGTCCGTGCGTCTTAGAACATGCTTAATTTGTAGCCTCGTACCTTTAATTCGTAATTGTTTTCCTGAATCTAATTTTATTACTAAGAAAGGTGTCTGAATCCTAGCTAGCTCGTGTGCAGATCCTAACGTACAAAGGCAATTGGATTGGGCAATACGATATAAGATAATCGGTGGGATTGCTCGAGGGATTATGTATCTCCACGAGGATTCTAGGCTTCGAATTATCCATCGGGACCTCAAAGCTAGCAATATTTTGTTAGATGATAATATGAGCCCAAAAATTTCAGACTTTGGCATGGCAAGGATTTTTGATGTAGATCAAACTCGAGGGAACACCAGTAAAATTGTTGGGACATAGTAAGTTCGATCATTTTCCCACTATATATTCAGCATATTTAAACGGATTATAGCTAGATAGCACTTCCGGCTTATTAGCCAAACTTAGGCCATGTGTCTTCCCTCATCGGCGTGATCCCAAATTTAACGCCTACTTTTCTTTCATACCAGACAACATGATTATATGACTATTGTCTATATCTGCACACCACCTTCTTAATTTGCTGATTGACTCAATGTCGGGTGCCTTTTTCTAGTGGGTACATGTCTCCAGAGTATGCAATGCACGGGCAATTCTCCGTCAAGTCAGACGTTTATAGTTTCGGAGTTCTGGTCCTTGAAATTATAAGCGGCAAAAAGAACAGCAGTTTCTATGAATCAGACAGAGGCCAGGACTTGTTGAGCTATGTGAGTATGAAAAGTTGTAGTCTATTTTATCTTGAAGCAGTCAATTACCCCATGATATAATCTCATCCCCTCGAGCTATTTTCAACTGCAGGCTTGGAAACTTTGGAAGGCAGGAACTCCCCTGGACTTCGTGGATCCAAAACTAGAGAGTGCTTACTCGGAAGACGAAGTTCTTAGATGCGTCCAAATTGGCTTGTTATGTGTTCAGGAAGATCCGGAAGATAGGCCGACAATGACAACAGTTGTTCTCATGTTTAATAGTTACTCTGTCACACCCGGACAACCTCAACAGCCCGCGTTTTACGTTAGAACTTCAGAACCAGAACACATGATGCCGGCAGCTGGACTGAACTTTGATCATCAATCTACGAGCAACCAACTTCCATTATCTGTCAATGAAGCATCCATTACCGACTTTTACCCCCGCTAAATTAGTGATTAGGATAATATAAAAGTGTGCGGCTTTATCCATTTCGATTTTGTATCAACTTTTGTATCTTGTGTAGCGTGTGGGACTAGTTCTCATGCTTCAAGTATGGTGACGAGACTTCAAAAATCTCGGCGACCAAACAAGGTAATGTGTAAACAGGAAAAGAAAACGAAAAAAAAAAAAAGAAATAAAATACGAAAGTTAAGCTGAAAAGGGAAAGAACTAGTTCTTACCCGTGCGGTTTTCCGAGGAAGATTGGGACAAGCTGAGAATTAAAAATGCTTCTTTTTGAGTGTGTTTCTAAAATAATTTTGTTTTTTTATATAAAAATAGAAATAAAAATATTTTTAATCTCAGACATAAATTATTTTTGAAAATGTATTTGGTAGTTTTATCAAGATAGTATTTTCAGTATAGAATAATCTATTAATGTCTCTCTGTACTTGAGAGAGAAAAAAACGAAAATAAAAAATGAAAAACGACTAAAAGTCATTTTTCATTTCTCTCTAATTTTACACTAAACTAAAAAATCGTTTTCATTTTCATTTTTTGTCTTTAATTGTAACAAACGCCGTTCTTTCCCCTTTTATTTTTTCTTTTTTGAAAAACATGAAAAATAAAAATAATACCAACTTCAAACATGGCCTTTTATAATTTTTCTTTTCCTTTTTTATTGTGTTTTTTTTTTTTTTTTATGAGAAAAGATTGCCGAAGATGTCCAAGGTAAGGGAAGAAATGCGGTGATCAACCCAAAACGATACCAAACTTTGTCGTTTTTAGCTCTTCTTCTTCATGGGCTCTTCGACTGGCTGTAGTTGACTGTTGAAGCCCAGCTCATGATTGTTAGGACTTTGGCGGGTTTCAATATGGGCTTTTTGACCCATACATAATCAAGAGAAAATTATTGAACTTAAGTGCATGGTCTAGAGGGAGATTTGAGAGGCGATTTGGAGATTTGAGAAAATTATAAAATTTACTTGAGTGTATGAGTATGAATTTTTATTCTTTATTTTTAATTAATATTTTTTTATTAGTATAATTATTTGATTAAAAGAGTATCAATCAAGAGTAAAAGTAAAAATCATGGTCACCACAATCTAAGGCAGTCTTGTCTCCTTTTTCCATAGACAAATATCTCTTTTAATGCATGAGTTAAGAGTAATACAATTAATACGATTTAATAAAATAACTATATTAGTCAAAAGTGAATTAATCAAGAGTAATAAATCAAGAGTAAAAGTAAAAATCATGGTCACCACAATCTAAGGCAGTCTTTGTCTCCTTTTTCCATAGACAAATATCTCTTTTAATGCATGAGTTAAGAGTAATATAATTAATACGATTTAATAAAATAACTATATTAGTCAAAAGTGAATTAATCAAGAGTAATGCCTAAAAATCTAAATCCATACACTCTTAAGCGTAAGTCAATAATTTTCTCATGTAAATTTGATAGTAATTGTTGAAAATAGGGTAAATTTGAATTATATTTTAAACTAATTGAAATAAATTGTATATTTACTAGTAAAAAGAATTTATTCATCACGTAAATAATTTATTGTCTATTAAAGGGAAAAGGTAAATAATTTATTATCTATTAAATGGAAACAAAAACATAAGAATGTAGTTGTTGTATTAAATGAAAATTCAGAAGAGAAGTGCAAAATGTGCAAAGAAGACTTTGGAAGCGAAAGATGCACTGATGGATGCCCTTCCAGTCTAAATTAATCAAATAAGAAAATATTAATAAGGACAAATATGTCATTCTATGTCTCACAAAAGAACCCAGAGTACTAAAAAAGGTTTTCCATTTTAACATTATTAAAAATATAAGATATCAAAAGCATGTTTCGCTGTAACATAAGCGACTAAAATCCTATTATCCTTTAATTTTTTTCATTCATTAGTTTTGTTTTCCTTTCTATGTCATTTTCCCTTTCTCGATTCTTTTTCTTTTCTTCAGACTTTTCTCCAAGTCTCTGCCATTAAATTTGGAAATTAACGCCATAATAAACTTCGATGTACGTAAAAATTGTTATTTACTAACTTGTTCTCAAATTTCTACCGTCTTCCAAATTCTTTCCAATAAATTATAGTAAATATTATTTTTATGAAACTAAATTAAGAAACAACATATTTTAAAATATTTAGAATAAACAACAGTAAAAAGTTTTTTTTACCACATAAATTTTTTATTTTTACTTCATTCTCCATAAATTTTATTCCCCTTAAATTAAGTTAATTTCCCTTATTCTCTTTTAAACATAAGTAGTCAAATGAATAGTTAATTTATAATGATAAATATTCTCAGAGATTAATAAATAAGCTTCGTTCATTTCGTTAGCTCAAATTAAAATTCAAATTTTGGTTACACTATTTTTTCGTATAAAAATTTGAATTTAACTTTTTATATTGTAGTATTTTCTAAAGCGTGTGATAAAGGCAAATTAGCACTTCCAAAAGGCCATAGCATTAAGGACAAGATAAGCAACAAATTAGTTACCAGTGAGAACAAGATTTTTTTTTGTTTTTGTTTTTGTTTTTATTGAAAGGGGAGAACAAGATAATGTTCTCGTTAATTGCCATAAACAAAACATTAAGTCTAGGAAAATAACACCATACCATTATATACATCGATAATGGTAGGATCTCAAATATCTACTAATTTTTTCTTGAATCAAAACATAATAAATAAATTATCAAGTCATCTGATACAAAAAAAATTTAATAAATAGCTTAAGATGCATAGGCCATTTTTTCATCATCCTACTAAATACTTATATGCATACGAAATTCACTTGTTTATAATAACGAAAACCAATGCGTCATCTCCACAATTAAGCATCCTTGCCATGAAAGCTACTGAGCTTCGAGGGAGTCGCTAATGGCGCCGGGTTTACGGGCCAATTCCGAGAGATTGGAGCCGACGGAGCCACCCCGGAGCATGCAGGAGCTTCTGTGGTGCCGGCAGCGGAATGAACCGGCGTGCGTGGTGGGGGAGCAGAGGCAATTCCACCTTGTGCTAGAGGACTTTGTCACTGCACGTTGTGCTCTTGGGGACGCAAGCAAATGCGTTTGTTTCTTCAACTCATTCAAGTTGATATCCGGTATTTTTAGCTTGAAGTTCATGTTGTTTTCCTTAATCTTTTGGGGTGATCTTTGCTCCACTTTTTCATCCATGTTTTTGTTTGTTCAAGCTTAAGAGTATTTAAATGAATTGCACCAAAAAAATAAAATAAAATAAAATAAACAATGTGTAAATGAGAAGAAAATATCATTGAAAATGTAATAAAACATTCCTTTTTATATAGAAAATTGTAATATAGAATGTCATATATTTACATCACATGTAAGACAATTATGTCAGGCAGATATTCATGACATAATTGAAGATTTAATTGCTATCTAATCATTAGCATAAATAAAAAATAGCTATCATTATTAAATCAATGATTGAGAATTTTGTTTAGCTTCACAATATGTTATGCATATCAATGAAATAGATATGAAAGGGAAATAATTTTATATGAGAGCCAAAAAAAATGAAAAAACAAAAAACAAAATCTACAAAAGTTCATAATAAAGAAATAGTGGCTCAAAAAGGAAATTTACTGCCCATAAAATCAAATCAAATAATAAGATGTTAAGAAAAATTGACATCTTATACGTACCTTGAATGCTTAAAGAGAATGTAACTTTTGCAGAGAGTTTCTGAGGAAAATAGGCACCAAAGAATAATGCTCTTTCAGAAACAGAGAAAGGGTGAGAAATTGAAGATCCTTGTATAATTGGATTATTATTGTTATTAGTGAGCCTAACAATAAGGAATAGATAGATAATTAATAGCTGATTTTTTGGAATGCAAGTTTTAACCGATTTTGGTTTTACTGTTTCAAACTTGTGGTTAACTCCTAATCAGCCATTTGTGGCCTTTAATTCTCCTACTTTGACTTGAAAAGCCAGTTTGTTACTTATTACCATACCTCCCCTTTTATTTTTTTTTATTTTTTTTATTCATTAGGGAACCTTCTTTGCTATACTACCCATTTCTCATATTTCTCTTTCCAATCTTCTAATAATAATGATATTATATGATAACAATAATACATCCAACAATAGCATCAATCAGGTGGAGCTTAGCAGACAAGTTGCTTATAAGATTTTATAGTTTATACCCTTCACTACAAAAAAAATAAAAAATAAAAAAGGAAAATATCTTTTGTTGACAAGATTTTTATGTCAATATTTCATTGGTGAAAATGGTGTGTAATATTTACCGATGCATCAAATAATGTTTGGTAGGAGGACAAGGTGGCCAAGTGAAAATGTATAATTAAACTGAAATCAATAATAATTATTATTAAATTTTAGTTCAATCACATATTTAAGTTTGCCTAAACGTCATCAATGATAATGATTTCATAAGCTTTTAGCTTAATTACTCCCATATTATAGTGTGATTGCGTGAAAATGTTTAATTAAAACCAAACCAATGATATCTATCATTTGGTAATATGCTCTCAAATTATTCCATTGAGAGAGTAATCCATGAGTTGTAAGATTTTGGGTCACATGGTTAACCCTGAACTTATTGCGATTGTCAAAATCAGTCCTTTAATTAATAGACTTATACAACCAACCCCTTGAATTTTCAAATCCATTGCATTATGGTCCTTTTGGTAAGCAAATGACTATCAAATGCCCCGAAGAAAAGTTGCATGTGAATCACGTGATAAAATCTTTCCAAGATGTAAAAGATGTGAACAAAAGGACTGGTAATGCAACAGGTTTGTAAATTCAAGGGATTGATTGCAAAAAATTTTAGTTCAAACACTGATTTTCCAAACGCAACACACTTAGGGGGTAATCATGCAAAATACAGATTTGGCTTGGTGGATTAGAACTTCTAGTAATTACTAATTAGGATGATATCACTTAAATCTAGATGGGATGACACAATAGTATATTTCCAGGACCAATGATGAGAGTTTTCATTTGATGTCTCTAGAACAATGTTATTGGACACCGATAGCGCGCAGCGCAACACCATTTACTAATAGAATGTGAGTCCTGTAACAGAAGACCTACAGGTGGGGCCATCTTTTTTTTAGTGGTGGTGCCCCTAAGTATATTTCATGTATATATAGATATAATATTACCAGTAAAAAAAGAAAAAAAGAAGAGTACAGCAGAAGTAATAAAACATAATCAATGCAGGGAGATATACATGGTGGCAGTTCTCAGTTCTCACTTGGGACGGAGTCCTTGAATTTTTCTTCTTTGGAAAACAAACACAAACAAGATTAACAAACAAGAAGATAAACTGAAAAGTACTAATGTCTTTTTTCTGCCTCAGAAAAGGAATAGAGGCAGAAAAGGAATAAAATATTATCAGAACTCAAAACATTCACCATGTGAGAGAGATACACTTTCCAAATCAAAAATCAGCAGGACAACAATAAAAATAATAAACACTTCATTATTTCTTTGACCTTTATTAGGAAAGAAAAAAAATGCTAATAATCTTCAGGTCCACCACTACTTATTTCTGCCTCTTGTATATCTTGGCCAAGAAAGATTTCAGCACCGCCTGCACTGCTTTACTTGGATGAGCTTCAATTGATTTTATGAGCTTCTGGTAGCTGTTGTTCTCATACTCCGCAAACACGCCCTACAAATCCCAAAATCGAATTTCAATTAAAAGTCAAAAACTCATTAAAAAGTTGGAGAATTCAGATACCCTTTTGGTTCTGCACAATTATAGACCGCCGTGTCAGACTTTTTAGTTTTGATATGATCCTGATATGATCTAACGGTCTAGAGTTGCATAATATCAGTAGGGTACCCTTTTTATGTTTGTATCCTACTACAAAATTCTCCGGAAAAAAAAAAAAAAAGAAAAGTTACTTGACAATCTAGGAAACCAGAACAGGGAAAAAACCTCAAGGTCAAGGACTTTGTATAGTTCTTTCACTTTCTTAACGGAAGCTTCATCTGGTTTCCCATAATTCTCCTGGCACAACGAAACGTGTCATAAGCAAAGTGAAGAACATTCTTCTGAGATGTAAGAAGCTGAGAGAATGAATTTTTAGGGTTCTCACATTTAATAACTTCTTCTGTTCCTCGGTAGAACGTTCAAGCGCTTTCACGACCAACCAAGAGCACTTGAAGTCTTCAATATCTGTACCAACCTGATAGTCCAAAAGGCCATACCAATGAGATCTGAAATATACTCTATTAAAACAAGTTATTGCCTTACGAATTTCCTAGAGAGTACGCATTAGCCTCATGACGTACCTTACCAATCACATCAGGATGACCAAAGCAATCCAGATAGTCATCCTACAGAACACGTTGCTGAGTTATCGTTAAAAATTACAACAGAAAGCTCTGCAATAATATACCCAGTTCAGTTGCTAATGACACATAAGAAAAAAGACAGGATTTGATGATGAAGGAAAAGCAAAACTTTGAACTAATATTGTCCTTTTATCTTCCTATGGTACAGAAGGAACCACACGAGGACGTGTTAATTACCTGAACTTGAAAGTAGGTTCCCATCTCAATGAGAATGTTCTTCACATCAAGATGTTTGTCGAGATTTTCGCCCGCCATCAGCAATGCACAAGCAACCTGGTTGCAAAGAGTCATTACAAAGCATTATAGATCGAAACACACTAAATCCCAGCATGATGAACAAGCACAAAGGTACAGGCAGAAATATCACAAACATATAGAGGAGAAATATAGAAATGTATGCAAAAAGTAAGGATTTTTGCTCACCGGAAGGTAGAATGAGTAATAAGCGGTTTTGTATTGAACAATGCGATGGTGACTGCATCACAACACAAAGCTTTTTATCATGTTAAACATGGAGAGAGGAAACCAATTTAATTCAAAATCTTGCAGAGATGTCACATCTCAAGTATTCACTTACAGTGGCAACGAGTACTTTAAGAGATCTTTCTCTCCTTCAAGTGTGGTGATTAGATCTATCATTTGTCCTGAGGCTGTTTGGAATTCCACCTGTAAATTAATAACTGCAGTAAATAATCAAGAGAGAAAAGAAGAAACCCGCTTCTCCTGATCTACCATCAATGAAAGAATAGCATACCTCATTAAACAAATCCAGAAGATCCACATAGTAAGTCTTGCCTTTGAAATGGTTTTTGAGAATTCTTGATATGTGGTTACGAAGTATAATGCCGTCATTTACCGCAATCAAGCCAACCTAAGATTAGAGTTTAATAGACGTTAGATTATTCCAGACAAAAAACAAGAGTCACCAATACGCTTTTACTCTTAACACTCCAAAAATGAAAAAGTGTTATAACTCGTACCTTTGGCACTCGGAACCAGCAAGGTTGGCCACGACGTGTGACAGAGTTATCCATGATATCATCAAGAACTAGAAAATATGCTTGAAGCTGCAAAAAATATGATGTTTCAAAAGGCTAAAACTCCCCACTTAACCTAATTGGAAGCAACTAGCATAACAAGTATCCTAACTGATAAACAAATGATGACGGGCGTATGTAGACAAAGAGACAGAGAAATAGAGATAGAAGAAGAAGAAAAACAATAGAGAAAAAAATCTGAATACGCAATATTTTTAATAAAGGTCCGAATTGAAAAAGCTTATCCATTAGGCCTATTTATAGAGGAAATGAGGAATAAAATAAAGTATTAAGATAAACATACCTAAATAATCCTAAGAGATAACAATAAAAGATTCCTAGTTATCAATATCTTATTTCTCACAACAAATCAAACACTACCAAAAGAGAAGGTGGTGTGTTAAGAAATTATATTTATACCCATTCAATGCACCAGCCAAGAGCAGAAGCAAGGAAAATTTCCTCTTCACTTAGTTCCTGCCCTTCTTTAAGTAATTTGTAGCTATCAATAACAGATAGCCCTCGGTTAAGTTTTCCTGCCAAACAAAAACAATCAAGAACAACTTTTAACTTGAGGGAAAAAAAGAGGAACAAAATAAAACCCAATAGTCTCTTCTCAAATTCTAGAAGCTCCAAGACAAACGGATTAAAAAAAAATCGCACCTCCTGGGACATTGTAATCCAGCATCTGCAACAAAGTAAAATGAATTAATCAGAAATTAGGACATAACACTGAATGCAGAATAACATTGAATAAATATGTTCAAAAAAACACAATCTTGAGAGTGACATAGGCGATATCCAATTGTATCCAAATCTAAAGGTTCAGATGTGACTATAGTTTATGATAATCTTGTTTTAAAGACATATTAAATAAGTAATACCTGATAAGCAACAACAAAAAGAGCACTTAGAAACAAAGTAAAATGATACTATAGTTTATGATAATCTTGTTTTAAAGACATATTAAATAAGTAATACTTGATAAACAACAACAAAAAGAGCACTTAGAAACAAAGTAAAATGACTTAATCAGAACATATGACATAACATTCAATGCAGAATAACAAAGAACAAATCTTTTCAAAGAAACATAATCTTGAGATACATGGGGGAAATCTAGTTGCATCAAATATAAGAATTCAGATGTAATAATAGTTTGTGATCTTGTTCTATAGGCATATCAAATAAATAAATACGGAAGAGAGTTAGCAAAAACTATCTTGGACTTGGACATGATATTTTATATTGACCAAAAAAAAAAAAAAACCCAGAAGTTTAAGTAAGTTTGGAGATACCCCACATATTCAAAAATTTCTATAAAATTGAGTTGCATGTTTAACATAATCCAACACATTCCAAAATCTCAAGCTAAAACCCAATTTTTGAAGCAAAAAAATATATATCTTTATTCCATTTTTACATCAAGTTAAAATCTTGCTCAAAGATTGTCTGTCAAAACCAGAACTTGGGAACTTACAAATAGATCTAAAAATTAGTCTTCAGCTTCATACCCAGATTCTAAGTTGAAAAGAAAAGTCCAATTAAAAAAAAAAAAAAAGCCTCAAATTACCAACACGCCGAAACAATGTACATCAATGAAATGAACACACACGACAATGCTATATAAAGAATTCTATAGAGAGAAAGAGATGGGGAAATACCCGTTCAACCCATTGGCGAGAATCATCGGTATACTCGAAAGCAGGGTCGTTGAGGATCTCCGATTTCAAAAAGGAGTAAACCTCCACGAATTTCGCTCTTATTTCACTCATATTTCTTTGTTTTCTCAAAACCAAAACAAAAACCAACTTCAGAGAAACAGAGAGAGAGAGAGAGAGAGAGAGAGAGAGAGAGAATGGTTCTGAGTTGGTTTCTTTCTCGTTCCTGATATACAGGAGACGAGAGAGAAAGAGAGGAGAGAGAGAGAGGAGCACGTGAAAAACGACGGAGTGCA